CAAATATAACTGTATTAACAAATAAATGTATTTCCGAACTTTTAAACATATTACGCAGTGAAGGGCATATTTATCTTCCTCGCAAAGCGGAAACTCTTTTAGGCACATGTCATGTTCGACCTACACAGATTATGATGACAAAAAGGGATAATGTAGGCTCTTATATTTATATTGGAATTGAAGAGGCCCTGAAAAAAAGAATAAATGAAAATTATAAAGAAAGGAAAATACGTATTCTTGTCAACATTGATGGTGTTCCTCTATTTCATTCTTCACGACAACAATTCTGGCCAATTTTGATCCAAATTTTTAATATCAATTATCGCAGCGATCCTGCTATTGTTGCAATGTATTGTGGAGATTCAAAACCAGCTTCAGTTGGAGAATTTCTAAATGATTTTATTCAAGAAGCTATTATTTTAACAACAAATGGAATTATTATAGGATTTTCAAAATATGAATTTGAAATAGCAGCTTTTGTTTGCGATACACCAGCGAGATCATACATAAAATGTTGTAAAGGTCATAACGGTTTTTATGGTTGTGAACGTTGCGAAACAAAAGGAATAACAGTAGGAAGAAATACGCGTGTTTTTCCAGAAATGATAGCTGCATTACGGACACATGACTCATTTAAAAACCAGAGCCAATCAGGTCATCACAACGGAAACGAAACTTCACCATTATTATTAATACCTAATTTTGATATAATTCGAGGTGTGATCTTAGATTATATGCATTTATTATGCATCGGTGTTACACGAAGCCTTTTCGAAAAATGGTTAAATAAAGGTACAAGCTTAGCTCGAATAAAACGGACAAAACGAAAGATACTAAGAGAATCTTTAAAAACGATAACATCTTCAATACCCTGTGAGTTCCAAAGGAAAGAATATGATCTTGAAGACTGGGGAAATTGGAAAGCTACTCAGTTTCGATTTTTTCTTTTGTATTGCGGTGCTATTGTCCTTAAAAATGTACTATCAGAAGAACGTTATAAACATATTTTACTTTTAATAGTAGCTTGCAGAATATTATGCAACTCTGCTCTAACTAACAAACAAGTATCATATGCCAGAGAATTACTTAAAAAATTTTTTTATCTAATGCCAACATATTATGATCTTGAAAGTCAGAGTATGAATTTTCATAATTTGATACACATAGCCGATGATGTTGAATACATGCAAGCTTCTTTAAGTTATTTCTCGGCTTTTCCATTTGAAAATATGCTAGGAAAAATAAAGAAATTGATTCGTGCTCCTAAAAACCCATTAGTACAAGTAGTCAATCGCTTAGCTGAACTCGATGCTATGCCAAATAAAATGATACAAGCGCATGATGGAATTAATAATATAATTTTTGGTAAGCAGACAACAACTCTAGTAACATTAAAAAAGATTCAGATTAATAACGTTATGATAACATCATGTCGACCTAATAATGTCGTTATTTTATATAATGGAAACATTTTAAAAGTAAAAAATATATATGCAACAAAACGTGCAATTACTCATTTAAATGAAGTTATATTTGAAGGATATATAATGTCCATAAAGAGAAACGTTTTTTGAATATCCTCACATATCATCGGACTTTGAGATATTTGAATTAGGAAACCGTGCAAGAAATCATATAAAAAGTTCTGGTGCAGATATAAAAAGTAAATGTATATATTTAAAAATGTGTGATAAAAGATATGCCTTAACTTTAATACATTAATAATAAAATATTAATTTAAAATAACAGTAAATAAATGTATAAATGTGTATAATATAAACAAAAATTTATATAACAAAGTGTTAATAATGAATATCTAAAAGTATATAAGTTTAAATAAATATGATAAATAAAATTATAATATATATATATATTAAAGTATAATACAAGCAACTCTAATTATAATAGTAATACAGTTTCATCGAAGTTTAAAAAAAATGATTATAAAAAATGACAACTTGACAATTTCAATTTAATCATTATTTGAATTATGACTTCTATTAGCATTTCGAACTATATCACTATTGTTTCATTGTTTATGGCGCTGCCGCATGCTATGAGCACACTTCCTAAGTCGTATTCAACAAATTCTTACAAAGACGTTTGTTCCTTGCATTTTTACTTTTCCATTAAAATAACAGTAATAAAATCTTCCATGATGAAATTTACTGTAGATAATTGGCTACAATAAAAATGTAAGTTATTTCATTTATTTATATCAGTATAGAAAATGATAACCTTAATTATAACCTCAATTAATGATCTTGTATTATGTTATTACTGATTTAACACATATTTTTATTTTATTATTTTCAGGAATACATTAAAAAAAGATACTACACACATTATTGTTCTTTTCATTAATTCAAAAAATTCTAATGAAGAATCAGTAGAATTAGTTCCGCGTTCATGGTTAAAGTTCACGGATAAATGGCTATGTTACTTCCCAGAAAAAAAAGATTGGTCTAAGGTTGATAAATGGACAAAAATATCCAAGGATCCAAAAGAAGATTGGAAATTATGGGAAGTCATAATATTAAAAGAAGCAAGTAAGCTAAAATTAGAATATCATTAAAATTTATACATTGCTTTAATATTTGTAAAATATTTTTATAACGTATTATATATAACTTAATCTATTGTAGCATGTATAATTTAGAGCAATTATAAATTCATTCATATTACTTTTGTAGTTAATTATGATCAAGGCAAACGTCGACTATAGAAAGCGTATACACACTCAGTTTTATCTAGTACTGCTGAGGAAACAAATGTAAATGATAATCCTGGCATTGTAATTCTTAAAGAGAAAGATTGTTCAACTGCGTTAGATAATATACCATCATATGTTCCTTATGCCTGCATTAAAAGGTAACAGACATTGTATTATTTGACTACTATATCTTCAGATCAAATGAGATTTTCTTTTTCAAATCCAATATTTTTAAAATAGTTTCTTTTTGTGTACAGAATACTCAAATATTGTAACAAAGATAAAAAATAAGTCAAATAATCAATAAAAAAGATTACTAAAAATTAAATTGCTAAAAAATAAAACTCGAATATTTTACAATAAAAGCTACATTATAAATATCCTTGATATATTGAATTTTAATATGATGTTTTAATAAAGTTTTAATGTTATGTGCAGTTATAATCTAATACATCACGTATTTATCTTATTTAAATTAACGAATTTAATAAATTATTTAATTTGAAATATTTAATATTCTAATAAAAAGTAGAGTATTAAATATTTTTTTCTTATTTTGTTTTTGGAAGACTAAATATGCTGTAGCAGAAGAAAATTGAAAAACATAATTCATGTTAATTTATGTTTAAACACTTGTAAAAATAAATCAGCTTAAAAGCAGATTAAATTCAGAAATAACAATGAATTATTTGTCATATAGTGTAATTCATTACACAATATTCTTTAGTTCTATATAGATATATTATATTTATATCAATAAATATGTATATAAAAATGTATAAAAATAAATATGTATATAAATAAATGTATATAAATTTACTTTTCAGAGGGAAATAGTAAAATAACATATAATAATGATGACTCTTTTGCACAATTAATAGACCGATTTGAACGTTTTGAATTAACAATAAAACAAGAAATTGAAAGTGTAAAAAGAAGCATCTTGTACGATTTGCATAAAAACATTAATGATATAAAACAGGCCTCGGAATTATTTCATCTTTTCAGCCGATTCTCGTGGTATATGCCTCCTTTCCTCTCTTCACCGCGCGCGCGGCAGCCGCTAGGACCAGCGCCGCCGAGCGTTAGGAGCGGCGCTATCCAATTAATGTTAAAAAAATTTATTAAAAATATTTTTTTCCTCAATAGAATAGTACCTCATGGGTGACGTGGAAATCTATTGAAATATTTTCACATAATAAATTT